ATTGGAAGTGGAAAGCTACCATTTGGGCATGCTTGGTTGAGGTTGTAGAAATCTATACAAACCCTCCAGTTGCCGTTGGACTTCTTTACCAAGACTGGGTTGGAGATCCATCTTAGGTACACTGCCTCCCTTATGAACTCATTTGATATAAGTTCTTGCACCTCTTCTTTCAGGGTTTCGTACTGTTATGAATTTAAGGCTCTCATTCTTTGCCTATGAGGGGTGAATTTGGTAGACTTTCGTCATCATCGTCCAATTCAAAAGATTTGCATGGACCGTCTAAATCATCACCCTCAGCTTGGTAATGAGGGGGTTGCGAAGTTTTCGCTTAATTTCTCATGTTCTTAGTGTCTTTCATCTCTCACCTATTTCTAGAAGGAGGAGGAGGATGGACCCCAAAGGTTCATGTCCTTGACCACGTTCTGGACCCCTTTGGATGGGGGTGACCGATAAGACCTATTTCTAGACTTTGATGGTCCGATCTTATCAAAAACACTGATGGATCTCTGGGGTCCACGTTCTTGAGCATATTCTGGGGGGAAGTTACCCTCGTGTGGTACGTTGTCAAAGGGTCAGCTAGTGGCATAATTTGTAGACATATCCACTTCCACTTCCCTTTCCACTGGGTTGAGTTTCCTTCTGCGCACCTGAGGGTAGGTTGCCGTATCATTTTCCTCGCCTTCTTGGGAAAACATTCCCTGCTGAGGCATTTGATACCCTGCATGTTGGTGCATTTGCATAAGCAACTGTTGCAAGGTAGCATTCTACTGGGCCATATTCCTCATGTTTGCGGCCATTTTCCCCACTTCTCTGGCTAGACGTGCTGTGGTACCGCCTCACCTATGTTGGAGATGGGAGCAATGCATTTCACATTGGTTCGAAGGACTTCTTCTTCAGAAGCCTCCTATTGTCTGTTTCTGCCTTGTGAGCCATAGTGGATGGAACTCATAATGTATCTTTGACTTTGAGCTAAAGACAAGTCTCTAAGTGCTTCGTTTCTGCAACGGTTCTTTCTTCAAGGACCAGGCCTTTCTCCAAGGTTCTTCTTACTTTTGATGGCTTTTACCACAAGGACACTTGTGGTTATAACGTCTTTTCCACATATGGCGCCAATCTGTTGACGTCAAAAAATGTACCAATGATGTGGTCAACAGATCACAAGGCCTCTCTTGCCCATGCAAGCTCAATTCCTACACACTTAGACAAATCGTTAGTCACACGTGTCCTTCTCCGGAGGGGGTGGAGTTGGCCGCGCGCACTCCGACGATCAAGTCAGTTGGAGAAATAAGTATATGAGTGTGGGAGAGCTTCAAACGCGAGCCTCCAATATAAAAAAAAGGTGCCTTTGGAAAAACAAGTAAAAGATGTGGTAGCAAGATTATAGCTTTAAGAGTCTAAACTTGCATTACCCTTGGATGACAATAAGTGTGAGCTTTTATACCTGGGCAAGATTTAACGAAGGCCGTTGGATGACAATGCACGTGGCTTCATTGAAATGACTGATATTTCTTGTCATAGACATTAATTAGTCACAAACTTAATACCATTTTTGTATCTATAAGGTCTAGCTGCTGCCTTGGACTTGACCAAATAAGCCACGACAGCGAGTTGTCTTGTCAATCACATAATACAAGATCTATTTAAGATCTCTTCACCGCCTCATCCTGGACAGGCTCTTCCCATGGGGTCTGCGTGTAATTGAGTCGATCCAACTTTGCTTCGCATGGGAAAATGGGTCGTCCGCACTTGAGGGTCGGTCCAGCTTCGCCCCATAACGTGGGATGGTTGAGACAACGTGGGAGTCCTCATATAGAGAGGCGTAACAGTTACCTTACTTTTACCAAATTGATTGTCATATACATAGAGAGAAGGAAATAGAAATACCATTTCTGACTTCCACTAACCAATTAGAGCTTGCTAATTTTGTTAAGGACAATTCTACTTGTACATAGGGGATGCCATAAGGGTTCACATAATGGTCAAATGACACCCCCCTATTGGAGGGTCGGTTGGGCCCACAATGTGGGCCGANAATAGGAAAACATGAAATAATAATAAAACATAAGGAATATTAGGGCCTGTTTGGGTCATTTTTGTGTTCATTATTCTTAATTGAGCTGATTGTAAAGGAACCCATGGTAGATGATATGTTACATCCGTCTGATGGGATTCTTTTAGCTGATGGGGAGGTACAATTCGGTGTCTTTTTCGGTTCTTATCTATAACATGCAGTCTTTTGAAGTGAAAATTGTAGACGAGGTCTTTGATTGATGGTCATTGTAGAAAATTGGTTTTGAAAGTTTTAAGTTTGGACTTTTTGTATCTTTAGATTTCTCACTTTTGTTGTAGTAGCAATTATTTGATTAAAATCGTCCGTTATAAAAATTACTTTTTGTCGTAAATTTTTCATTTTTAGCTTTTGTTGCATTAGTTGGGAGGCAAGCCCACGGAATGAATTGGGATGGGACATATGGGATGGGATGGGAGTGGTAGAAGAGATGTTCATGATTTATCTTGTTCTTCTCTTTTATTGTCCCCCTCTTCTTTTTTTATATTTCCCTTTTCCTTTATCTTTAACAGAACATGTCGATAAATTAATATTCATTTATGTCTATTTATCAGGTTGTCCATTTAAATCGAAAGTAGCTATAGATGTTATCATTTATAACAAAAGTTCGTATAAAATAGAGTAACGGCATATCCATTTCCTAAGGATTTGTTTATGCAATCAAAAATGAAAAGTTAAAAGAGTGCAATGAGGACTGACTTGCCATACAAGTCATAGATTATGAACCTGTTCACTCGAATTTTCGAATTTGAGCAGCTGTTTGTTGCTCATTAGTAGAAGAAAAAGAACCGTTGGAACAGTGGCCCTGCCTACCATTTTTGACCATTTGTGTCTTGTAGGGACCCACCAACTTTGAAAAAAAGGGTCCTATTTTTTCTATTAATGGAAAAAGAAGTTGGAACAAAAAGAGGCTAAATTGTAGAATCTTGTCCTCAATTCTCTTAATTGTCATTGGGTTAAATACATTGCAAGTTACTCAATTTTTAGCAAAGTTGCATCTGAATAATTCATATTTTAATTTCGTGCAATCAAATTACTCAACTTCAATTGTTTGCAAAGGTTGATCCAATTGATTCATTACTCACGAATGGAAGATTTTTTAAGTAAGATACCTTTAGAAAATAACCTCTTTGGTGAACAAGTTTTTTAGACAAAAGGTGAATTGTAGTGAAAAAATTTAACTTAAAGAGTAAAACGAAATTAAATAAATAAGTACTAGATTTTAAATCACTTTACTAGACATAAACGACTTATTTTCTTCTTTAATATTAGTTTTTCAGAAGCTTAATTAGTAAACATAAGCGTTGCATGAAATTAAAACTTAGACTCCTCTATTTTTTGTCACACATTCACACACAACCGATAAGCAAGATTCACACACCTGAAATATATGCATATTCTTCAATTATATATATTGTTTACTAACAATGTTTTGAAATATTCATAAATATTTCATTCTTCTTCAAGTCTTAACCGCTCTTTGACTTGAAAAATGAAGCTTGTAGCTCTGGCATCGACAAGTTCGTCCCCAGTGCCTCCATTTGGGCCATGAACATAGCCATCTGAAGCACCAAAATTGTCTCTCTTTGTAAAAGCCACCATGTGAGGAGGCGGCTTAACGGTGGTGGTGGCAGGGGCGGTGCATTGCATGGCCGGTGAAGGCTTGGTGGCCATATAGAAGGACATGACCAGTTTACTTCTCATGAACCCTCCTTGCTTATGATTGGTAGTCTCCATAATATAAATATAAGTGCCCAAAATAAGTGAAAAACGGAGGCTTCTATGGCATATAAATTAGAAGGTGACAACTATATATAGATTAGAAGTTTGAGATAGAATTGAATCGTTTAGTTGGGAGGTGGTCTGGTCCTATAGTTTTCTTAATTAATTATACTATCATTAATATAAATTATGGAATAACAGATAAGTTGGATATTTGGATATATTCCTGTGTATGTTATTTAATTAGATTTGAGCACTTTTTTAAGATATGAACTATTAAAGAAAAAAATTGCAAATCCGCAGACCAATTCATCCTTGATCCACCCCTAGTTGTTTACTTGAAAAGCAGTCTTCAAAAGACTTTCCAGGACACGTAATAATAGCATAACCTAGAAAGTAAACATAGAGGATTAAATATAATTTGTAGCCATGCTTTTATATCCCATCACTGTCAAATTCAGAAATTCAAGTAAGGACGGATCCACGTGAGTACGAGTGATTCCAAGTACAATGGAAAAGAAATATAGCCAATACGGGTGACCTCAGGAGCTCGCCGGGTGAAGGCACCGCTCCAGTGTCCTATCATTTAAATAATGGCTGGATTAATTAGTAAAGGGAATTTGGATCATTACACTTAGCAAGTAAAGAAATTTCTTCAAATTGGATGGTAGATGGTGATTGAAGAATCAGGGCACGTATAACTTGTTGCCACATGTTCATTCCCACTTCCAAATGCGAATGCGAGGGGTGTAAAAGATTAGGTAAAAAATTATGTACATATAGCATAACCCTTGTTCTATATTCAAGAGAGTAACAAGTTTTCTTTACATTTGAGTCCTAACATGCAGAGTTTGTACTACTTGAATTCTCATTCAATGTTTTTGGCATGGATCCCCATCTTTCTCTTTTCTTTTTTAAATCTACTGTGCCTCTGTAACAGTACCTCATATGCAATACACACGATCAGTTGATGATAATTTTCGGCAATATTCGCACAGATGCAATGAAAATGAAAGGTTAGAGACTCAATGCCGACTCCAAATGGTCAGGAAGCTTAAAGGCATCAAAACCAAGTTAAGAACAAGCGAACGAACATATTTTTTCAAGAGGCAATTTCTGTCATAGGTTCTAACATCAGGCAACAAGCAATCACAAATATAACTATACATGTGAAAACACCAGTTAACAGACTAATGAAACCTGGCTAAATTTACTCCCACATGAACGAGAGCGTTGGATGGGATCCACTTGAAGACGTCCCCTCGGTCCCATTCTGAAACATATCCTGGAAATGAAGGCTAGAGGCATTGCTACCATGGGAGTCTCTAGCTGAAACTACTGGTTTGCTTTCGATTTCTTGAGAGAACTGATATTGTCCTAGGCTGCTGTAGTGCAAGCTTTGAATCAAGGAGTCTGCACAGGGGATTGATTCGTGCTGAACAACATGGTTCAAACCAAAATCATGAGTTACAGGGGTTGTCGATGACAGAAGAGAGAGAGCACGATCAGAGTCAACGACTTGATTTAACCCATTGGAAAAAGTACTAGGGCCACTGTTAGTAATTGCTGATGCTGCGTTTGGATAAAAAACCGGTTGTTGATAGATAGCCTCTTCTTGCGTGAATTGAAGTTGATTTACTCTCTTATAACTTGCAGAGCATTCTGGGAATGAGTTTTGTCCCTCGATGTAATTTGAGAGCTGTTGACTGTTATATAGCCCCGTGTCGTTCTCGGGTTTGACAAGACCAGCCCACGAGGAGCTCATGACAGCATTTGGAAGTATTGGTGGGGTACTAAATGACAGAAGTCTTGTACCTGAAACAGCAGGTCGACTCGGAAACACCAATCCGGAAGTTCTTGAGACAGGGTCGGGCTGAGGCTTCCTTCTCCGTCTGTTGTGGCCGTCAAGTCGCTTCCTGCAGCTCCGTTTTCCCTCATCGAATTCTATGAGAGAATGAAACCTACAAAAGGGACGTCACACGAAACATATGATAAACTACAATCTAAACTGAATCGAGGGGAAATGATAATCTTATCAATCAAAAACTAGATAATCCAAGATTTAAAGAAAAACCTCTCTAATTATTAACCATTATACCCCAAGAGACGGGTCGAAGAAAAATGTTGGTGAATAACAGTGCCTTTATTGATGCAAATACCAGAACAGTGTCCTCAAAATGATTTCTTCTCTCTTATTTTTGCACTGCTGGTTTATCTTCGTGAGTTCTAACACATAAATTTATACAATATTTTCATGTTAGTAAAGCTACCAGGAATCATTTACATGGGAAAAAAGGGAAATATAATTCCAATTTTATTGAAATACTCAAATTGATCTCCAAACTTATCCATTTTATGGCTCCACAACTCAACGAGATACACTCAAATTTCATGAGATTCAATTTCTGCTATTATCCAGCTGAAAAAAAAAAAAAAGATCATAGTCACACTGGAATCAATCTTGGACAATAAGGTCTAGAACTTTAGTTGTGGCATTATTTTGAGGACAAGTTCAATAAACTTTCATTTGAATACGATCAAAATCAGGAAAAAGAAAAAAAGCTGGTAAAATAAATAAGTAAATGGGGCTGACTGCTCCAAAATTTATTTAACATGAGACGAGAGAGCTCAAATTATTTGAAAAGAAGGATGCTTGGAAAACACGAGCTAAAAGAATAAGAATGTAAAAAAATGGCTGCAAATAGCCATACAAATTTCACAAATTTTCATCAATCCATCCAAACAGAGGTTTAATGAAATAACTTACTGATCCCTAAAGGATCAGATGAGTTTGAAAGAATTCAAAGAATGTATAAATGACCAGAAAAGAAAATAAGTCATAAGAATAAATAACACCTGAAGAGAACAGGCTTCATATTTACCTACTGCACTGTTGGCAGAATCGTAGTTCATGGCCTCCAATCATAACTTTTGGGGTCTTTGAGTGAATCTCGCAGACTTTATGCCGTCGGTGATACTCTCTACATAGACTTAGGTCCGCATTACACCCATCAACTGAGCAATGAGCGACTTGGATAATATTGCTGGGTGCCTTGGCCCTCTTAGACGGCCCAGAAAACGACGATGATGCCATCAATAGGCTCAAAAGATTTAAAAATCTTTAGAGTTTCAGATTTTCCAGAATTTAAAAGTCTCTTTGGCCAATAAATTTCTCCCCTTCAGTCTCTACACTTACAAAGTTGATGAGCCAACTATTTATTTTGATCAGTAAGCAAAAAAATTGAAAAGTAAAATCTCCCTCCAAATTAGCCAAGTCGGTATATGTCCCCCGGTATAGCCCACAAATTTCTTGTTGTCGTTCAAGCTCTTTCTATAAGCATGCCACGTGTCCCTCAATGGCTATCCATATTGAATGAGAATTTTTGATGTAATATAACTACTCAATATCATCCACCTGGTTCAATATCTTGTAAAATTACTATCTATATTGAATGAGAATAGCAAACCACATCATAACAGTAACAAACGATGGATGCATTAACTTTGTGGTTCCATATAAGCAGAACAAAATGTGAGAACAAAAAAATTCAATCAAGGGCTAATGCCAATAACAAGATCTCATCTTTAAGAGCGCCAACAAATCCTAAAGCTCATTTACAATTTTCAACTGGTGCATGATTCCATCCAATTTTTAACTACACATTAGTGATTCAACCTTGTAAATATTGAGTTTTGAGGTTCAAACTTACAAGGGAGCTATACATTGCTGATCCTAAATCCCTTACATGTTGATTACTGTGTTATTTTACCACTAACACGTCTCACAAGATACTTACGTGTTTGAGAACAGCAATCTTAGAATCTGATTGCTCCTTTTTGTCTTAACCGAATTGAATTGCTCGTTTGAGATTTTTAAGCTCTAATACCGTGTATGGAGCTTCCATCTGTAAAGGTCAACTTTGTGAAGAGTAATGTTTTTGGATTTATGTGATCTAGGATTTTTGATATTACAAGTGAAATTTATTCCCTTTAACCCTAGTAAATGCAAATTTACATACTAATACGACTTCAAGAATCAAGATGCAGTCCAGCTTTGATTAAAAAGGGTAAAATCCACCTTCTATTTGGTTAGGAATTGTTCGAATGGGCGGCCTTATATTCCAAATTTCTGATAGGCAATCGTAAAAAGACATTAAAACTAAAGACTTGTAGGCAAGATAGTGCGATAAAACTGGCTTTTTCTGGTGACAAAATGTAGAAACAATTGAAGAAATAAACCTCAGTTGTGAATCTCACAGGTTACAGTTTTCTGTATCATAGAAGTTAGTGACTAACAGAACAAACAAGGAAAAAGGCCACGGCCTCTTTTGTATGTTATATAAACAATAGTGGAAATTCATGTAAAACAAGCTTTAATCAAGTTTAGAAAACAAGACTATCAGGAGAATAAGACATAAAAATATCAATATTGAAATCTGAGATTGAATTGCTTGTTGAACTTTTAGTACTATACATATTTGGTCGAAAGAAACATCATTGCTTGGAGTACCCAAATTTTTATATTGCAACCTAAAACTTCAGCTTAAAAAAAGATGGTCATCTATAACATGCAAAAAGAAATTACTGGTGCAATAAAAGTTTAAACATTACTTTTGGGGGTGTGAGGATAAAGAAAAAGACTGTAAGATGAAGAAGTCTACAGTGACCCAAAAAGAGGAAGGGTAGTTGAATACCTTAGCAATCAAGCTTAGAGGCTGCCAAAAACTTGACCCCAATTGTAAAGAAAATGACAATACATATAAATTGAAGGCTTGGAGCAAGAAAGTGAAGCTAAATAACACAATACACAGGCATAGACAATACAAAGAGACTTCAAGAAAATTAAATTAACAGAGTGAATAAGAAGACTTACACAAGGGAATACTAACTTGGTCTTCTTAGCCATTCATTCTCTGACAGTGACTCCATTATAGCTGGATCAGCATAATGGCAACTGGCAAAAGATAGACAGGAATAGTGTGTGTGTGTGTGTGTTAGAGAGAGAGAGAGAGACTCTAATAGTAGTTGGAGTAGTAGAGTAGGGGAAGAGGGGAGGGGGTGTGTTTATAGTTGGAAATTATTGAGAAAGCTCCAGTCCAGATTTCACCAAATCCACCTTTTATAATGGATTATGTATGTATTCAAGGAGGAAACAAATACATACATTATACATAAAATACACATGTAGAATTCCTCGATGGTATAAATACACCAAGGTAAGCAAATGATTTTGAAGATGTGGGCTTTCCCAGAAAGTGATACTAATGAGAGAGAAAAAGATGTTTACTACTTTCACTAGTTCACTCACATTCCTTTTTAGGGTAGTAACCTTGTAACAAGTGAATATAAAATTATATTCCAAGATATTAATCTTGGAAAAAGCAAAAGATGACCCCTACAAACGAGTGGCAAAGAAAGGGACAGCCTGTTTGTAGCTTTCAGTTTTTTATTGTGAAAAGAATGTGTGAGAGATAAAGAAAAAGTTCAAATGGAGGAAAGGTTGGTCTTGAGTTTTTATATCTCACGGCTCTTTGACTATAAAGATACTCAACAAAATTTATTATATTGCTCAAGAAGAATATGTAAGTCGAGTAGTACTGAAAATACAAATATTTTGTAATATTTCGTTTTTGTTTAAAAGATATAGAACCCATGCTGGTGTGGACCTTTGGAGCCACCACTTGGACAACCCGATTGTATGGACTGGTCAGCCATCCTATCGCAGAGCGAGTAATGAACTGGGCAACCTGGACTTGACCCATAGTATACTCTAAGCGGAAGATATATCATCTTTATTGTGTGTTTGTATCCTATTGTTGTAGAAGAAATGGAGTAATGAATAGTATTTTTTGAATAATGTGTAGTTGAAACTTAAAATAATTTTATTGATTTATGTGCAGAATATATATTTTTTAACGTAGGAACCCGCAGCCGTTACTCGTCAGCGGAGCCCNTTTTGTAATTTCCTCTTTTTTTTTATATCTCACGGCTCTTTGACTATAAAGATACTCAACAAAATTTATTATATTGCTCAAGAAGAATATGTAAGTCGAGTAGTGCTGAAAATACAAATATTTTGTAATATTTCGTTTTTGTTTAAAAGATATAGAACCCATGCTGGTGTGGACCTTTGGAGCCACCACTTGGACAACCCGATTGTATGGACTGGTCAGCCGTCCTATGGCAGAGCGAGTAATGAACTGGGCAACCTGGACTTGACCCATAGTACACTCTAAGCGGAAGATATATCATCTTTATTGTGTGTTTGTCTCCTATTATTGTAGAAGAAATGGAGTAATGAATAGTATTTTTTGAATAATGTGTAGTTGAAACTTAAAATAATTTTATTGATTTATGTGCAGAATATATATTTTTTAACGTAGGAACCCGCAGCCGTTACTCGTCAGCAGAGCCCAAACCACCCTGAAGGGGCGAAGGCACGCACTAGGTAAAATCCACTTCATATGCAATAACCCGCAAAACCACACAGGAGAGGTAAACCGCATTAGCAAGCCCGATGCGACGGACTAGACCGAGGAAGTATTGGTAGGGGATTCAAACTCGTGACCTTTGATCTCCACATTCACCTGCTCTACCAACTCGGTCACCCCGAAAGGATTGTGTGTATAATATTTTATTGGGTGAATATGTGATGAAAAATCTTATTGTCGCAAATAATGTTCTGAAATAATGAGAGACAAACGTGACCTTAATAGCCCCATACTCCGTTGGACATTAAGTAAGAGGAAATATGTTCGACTAAAAAAAAATTAAAAATAAAACTTAATTTGTTGTGTTTATCGTTCTTTTGATTAAAAACAGTCCAGTCAACCCAAGAATAAACTTTAGAAACAGCTTCCAAATGAGTAATTTGTCTCTCAAATTTTAACCCTTGTATTTCTATGCAGTTGTTGATTCTTATTGGAAATGCAAAATCTTGAAATTGGTACTAATAATATATCTAATCCTTTGGTAATGTGGGAAAACGTTTAGATTACATCAATTCCCAGATTTAGAAGTTCAAAATACCTACTTTTATAAAATATTACCTATTCGTCTACTTGTACCGGCACATGAAATTTTCATAAATAAATAAATAGTATCAAAACTTTTCAACCACAAATTTCATCAACTTTTATTAAAATTTAATAAAAATCTAATTTTAATCTCTATCAAATAGAATAAATATCTTCAACAAGTTCTTGATTCATTGGACTTTGATTTTTTCTGATTTTTTGCTATGGCACACATTGAAAGTTCTGGACGGGAATGTCCTACGTGTTAATTGTTGAACTATATGCAATGAGTAATGTTATTTATCTCCAGTGGGGATGAAAATACAGTTTAGATGGCTTTAAATGATGTGTTAAATAAAATGTGAAATTAATTGACTTATTTAATTTCATCTATCATTTAATGCTACATTAACGCCACGTATACTGTATTTTTATCCCCAATAGAGATGAATAGTATTATTCATGCAATGCATCTTCAAGATGCACAATAATTATGACATTATCTGTCATCATTAATTTGTATCCAAACCCCTTTATTTCCTCTCTTGGGATAATGTCTATCTTCTAAAAATGAAGTGCTCTTCTAATACAAATATATAGAGCGCGTTTGTTGTAAATACCTCAATTCATCTCTCCCAAGTTTAAGATGGTTACCGAACGAGAACCATCTTATAACTCGCACCAATAATAACACCGAGCAACATAAGATTGATTTCAAATAAAGGGGTTATCAATGGATTTGATTTTGATCTGAATCCGACGAAATTAATGGGAAATGGATTTATGATCTCAATCCAATAACCCGATCAAGATCTGAATCCAATAATCCAATAACTAAATGGATAAAATATGGATATAGGTCAATCCGATCCGATAACAATCTGATCCAATTTGTTATAAATAATTGAGTTGGTAAAATATTTTTATGGCATATTATTTGTCACTAAAATAAATAAATTTAGAATAAAAAAGTAATCAAATTCAAAACATTAAAAAATAGAAGATTTTATAACTACTAAACCTGTTTAAGAATTGGAAAACTTGAAAAAAAAAAAATTTGATTTCAACCAACGTTTTA